TTAACCGCGCCAAAGACGCGCAGCGTGCGCACATGCACGAGCTCATGGCGCCCAAACGGCCCCACCTCCTCCCTGTCGCCCGGCACCGTCGGCGTCCGCGGGGGCTGCATCAGGTGGTGCGTGCTCCGCGCCGACACAGGCGTTGGCATGTCCGACACCTCCTCCCCCTCGGGCAGGTCCGGCCAGTTGAATCGTGGGCGGCGGAAGCTGCGAAAATAATCATCAGTACACGCTCTCCAACTCATTGATAAATAAAAGAACGCACCACTCATAATCCCACACAGCATCCTCAAACTCCTCATCCGAAACAAGGCGTGCACCCGTCGCAGGGTCGACACAACGCGCGACAAACTCGGCGAGGGCGGGCTTGGACGCGAGGAGCGTCTGCATGTGCTTCGTCGCGTGCATCTCGAGTTCCGCGGGCGGCACGGGGATGAACGTCCCCGGCCACAGGATGAGCCCCGGGTGCTGCGCGAGCCCGTGCGCAAAACGCGGCGGCTCCGGCGGGCTCGCGGACCACGCGCCCGAGGACGTGGACGATGCGGCGGAAGACGCGGTGGAGAGCGCGGACGTAGCGGAGGCGGTTGAGGCGGTCGAGCTGCCGCGCGTGTGCGTTTGCGGGGAAAATGCACGCTGAGGGGCGGGAGAAAGATCCATGCTCGCGAGCCCGAGCTGCTTGACCGTCTTCGAGCTCGTGGACGGAGTGACGGTCCGCGCGCTCGCCGACGGCGTGATCGTCCGTGAACTGGTGGAGGGCGGAAGCGACGCGCTCTCCACGCGCGCAACAATCGGCGGTGCGTCCCATTCGCTCGGGGGGACCCACGTCGACGCGCCCCGAGCCCTCTCGTCCGCGCTGAGCACAGGCGGTGTCGGCAGCGGCGGCTCGTCCTCGCTGGGCTCCTCCTCCTCGCTGAACGCCTCCTCCTCGTCGCTTTCCTCTGGACTCTCGACGAGCGTCGGCGGCCGCTTGACCTGCGGCACAGCCGCGCCCACGATCCCGAGGCGCTCCGCCGCCTTGGCACTGACGCCCTGCGGCAGCGGCGTCTCGCGCGCCCACGCCTCCTTCTCCCTCTCCTTCTCCTTCTTGCCATGCTTCCTCCCCTTATGCTTGCGCACATCCCCCTCCCTTCCCTCCTTCTCCCACTCCATCGTCGACATCCACGCCCTCACGCTCTTCCCGTCCCTCTCCCTCTCCCCCTCCCGCTCCCGCTCCTTCCCCTTGAGTCCCACCGGCGCGAGCTTCAAATGCATGCTCGCGGGCGCCTCCACGCGCCCCGCCGCGCTCCCCCTCCCCTCGCAGAACACGCGCGCAAGCAGCGGCCGCGCGCCGTCCGCCGGCGTGAGCGGCATCCCAAACTGCGTGCTCAGCATGCGCGCGTACACGCGCTCGAGGTCGCGCGACGCGGCGCAGCGCGTGCTCCACGGACCCGACGTCGCGAGCACGCACGCGCCGCCGTCGTCAAAGGGCACGCTGCCGTCGAATGGCACGTCGTCGGCTGGTGCGCGCGGCGTCGTGGGCCCTGCGGTGGTGGGTGTCGTCCCTGCTGTGAGTGCCGGTGTCGTGTATGCTGGGGAGGGTGTCGGTGCTGATGTGAGCGCCGCGGTTGGCGTCCCCGTCCCCTGCTCCCGCTCCGTCTCGCCTGCACCCCGCGGCGGCACAGGCGTCAGCGGCAGCTCGCCGTCGCCCTCGCTCTCTCCGTCCCCGATGGCGATGTCGACGACCGGCGGCGGGATCGCGATGACGAGGTGGTCGACGCCGCTGAACGGGCGGTGCACGGGCTCAAAGTCGAGCCGCGGCGGCTTGGTGAGGTCAAAGTCGAGCTCGAGTTGCGGCGGTGACTGCTCGAGCGCCTTCTTGAGGTCAAAGGCCGATGCGCGCTGCTTGAGCTCCAAGGACGAGGACCTGCGCTTCGCGAGCTCGAAGGAGCCACGATCGGACGCTTCGCCGATGAGGGTGGACTCCGTGTCGTTGAAGGAGAAGGACGAGGCGGTGTCGGACGAGTCGTCCGAGGTGGGTGGTGTCGGGAGGATCTCGTCGTCGCTGTCCTCCTCCTTCTCTGCCGCCGCCGCCTCCTCGAATGCCTCTTCCTCCTCTTCGTCGTCGGAGAAGTCGAAAAAGCCGGACGACGCGGGTGTGGGTGGCGGGGCGCGCGGTGTGCTCGGGGACAGCGGGTTGGTGGCGGTGGTGGTGGTGGTGAGGTGTGTAGGGACAGCTGCGGACTGCTCAGGCGCCTCCATTAGGGCCTCCTCCATGGGTACATCCCCCTCCACAGGCGCCTCCTCAATTGGCGCGTCCCCATACGGGAAAATCGCTTCATCATCCACAAGCTCCAGCCGCCCCCCGGGTAGCAGCACCCGCCACACCTCTCTCAACAGCCGCTCCCACTCCGCGCGCGGGACGCACATCCCCAGGCCGGCCATGCGCACGAGCGCGAAGCTGTTGTCGGGGAAGGGCAGCGCGTACTTGAGGAAGTCGCCACGCACGAGGCGCACGTTTGGGAGGGAGCCGTCGGTGAGCGGAGGGAGGGCGACGTCGACGAGGTCGAGACCGACAAAGGACGTGTTGCGCCACGTGCGCGCCGCGTCGATAAGCCACAAGCCCGAACCGCAGCCGAGGTCGAGCGCGGAGGCAGGCGGCGCACGGCGGTAGGGGTGGAAGGTCGGCGAGCCCGGGGGCGCGAGACGCCGCAGGAGCTGGTGCGTGGAGCGCTCGCTGATGGTAGAAATCGGTTAGTTCCCTGAAACAAGTAACGGGTGAATAAATGATATACGAACATTTGGAGGACGACGGGGTCGTAGGACTGCATATACGGCACGTCGGGATACGGGTGGAGCTTCATCTTGTGGCGGGTGCGCCAGACGTTCTTTTTGACGAAGCGTTCTGGCGCGTGCACGTCCTCGTCGCCGTCGCTCGTCTCGTCATCCTCGTCCGTTGATAGCGGTGACGGGGTCTCGTCTATTGGCGAGACGACGGTGATCAGGCTACCGCCCGAGGACGTTGATGCGCGGGTCGACACGGTATCGTCACCCCGCGGACTTGCGCTGCTCATGAGCGACGCGAGCGAGACCTTCTTGCGCAGCGTGAAACCGAATCGACTTGAGGCGCGGTCGTCGGGCGACGGTGCACGGAGGTGCACCTCTTTCTGTTTATCTTTTTCTTTTTCCTTCCTCTTCTCCTTCTCCTTCGGCCCGAACGAAAAGGTCATCCCTGCGGAGACCGAGCGAGATATGATAGACGGGGGGCGCAAGTTTGCGCTGGATGGTGGGGTGTTTAGTCTGGATAGTCTGTAATGGGGCTCTGGGGTCGGTGCTTGATTCTCTGCGAAGCGGAAGCTTTCTGATGCGGCAGAGGATGGGGACGCGGGATGGAGCGAAAGCGAGCGGGCGACGTCCAGTGCGGCCATTTGTAGTGAGCCGGGGCCACCGATAGAAAGTGTGGACAATATAGACAATGGGTGGACGTGGAGAAGAGAGAGAGCAAAGAGATGATTCTGCCCCTAAGGGGATCACTGCAATACTGATCGCGGACACAAAGCACTACTAAATGGGACACACCAAGTATAGAAATGGAACAAGGGCCCTGCATCCCAGGCCACCAAAGCATACCGGTCCCGTCTTTCTGCTCACCGACCCTTGGTCTTCACACCCTTTGGTCTTCTCACCCTTGGTCCTTCTATACACCAAAGCGACGTCGACCCGCTCAACCCGGGACACTTTGACAGACATCATCATTAACCCAAATGGGCCCCGCGGAGAAACACCATCTTTCTTATAAGACCTTTCTAGCTTTTGGGGTGGTCCTTTGCGGCCGCCAAGTCGGGGTCGGGCGATCGCCGCAGGCGCACTGCTGCTTGGCTCTGTTTTTTCTGCGTCCCGATTGGGAATTTTCGGTGGCTGATCGTGGCGGTGCATGTCCATCGGAATGTCATCGTCCGATTCGTCCGTGTCGCTTTGGGCTCTCTGAAGACTGGGGCTGTTGCGGGGCGCACCGCCTTCAAGTTCTCGGACACCGACTTGCTTCGTAAACTGGATAGACCTTGCTGACTGGATCTACACCTTGCTGACTGAACTTGAAGCTCAAGCGCTTGGCTACTCAGCCTCAACCTCCCCGCAATCTCTCCCCTCCTTTCCCCACGCTAGCCGACTACCACCCGTACCTGGCCGTACCTGGCACAATTAATTAACTGCGGCCTGAACTAATGAATCTACATGATCGTTAGCACACCACGGCTAAGTATACCCTCCCTCGCGGCTACGACTCCCGACAACCAAGAATACTATCTACGCCCCGAAACAGCTAAATCTCCACAACAGACTATATATCTATCTCTGCATGCCACAGCCCGGAACCATAATATGCGCATCTAACATCTACTATATCCGCCCCGGTTTCCGGCCGAATTGAATCCAGTTCCACGACATTGGCAAGCAAGCTGTTTCGCGACCTCGGTATCATCTCCAACCTGTTTCGTCTCGGTACTTGTTGTACTGTATCTCCAGCCTGTTTCGCCTCGCAACAGCACAGCCCGCCCGCCTCTCCCCGTTTATTTCTCCCCTCCACTCCACGGTACACATCGCTCCGGCGGCTTCTCCACGGTACGAGTGCGGGTGCTACAGCTATCTCCTCTGCGCACCGGACTGGAATAGCCATAGCCATAGTGGACGACGGCATCGGTGCTATTCATAACTGGACGGCGACTATTCATAACTGGACGACGGCTACTAGCCTGTCGGCCCGGCGGGTAATACCGGACGTCATCGCTCGCACAGGTTAAATGACGTGCACTCTTGCACTCTTGGACCGGGCTTGGACTCGCACTCATTCCGGGCTTGGACTCGCCTATCCGCGTACCGACCACCGTAAATGCTAGGCACGGCGCCAATATGCACTATGCAACCCAACTTGGAGCTACAGATGAACTGGCCATAGTTTGCATGTCCTTGCCAGTAATACATTATGTACTTATGATTCTCACTCGTGCACATCCCCTCTCTTCCACGTCCGCGTAGCTCAATGGCAGAGCACTGCGCTATCATAACCCTTTAATGATTATGTGATACGGAGACCTGAGTTCGACCCTCAGCGCGGGCATAGCCAGGAAGTTATATTTTTTCTTTTTTTCCTTTTATTTCTTCCTTTCTTAGTCTACTGCCGCGACATGCCCTTTCTTCGGAACTTCCTCGCTCCTCTCCCTTGCATCACAGATACCCCCTTCTTTTATTCCATCACGCTTGCGTAGCTCAATGGTAGAGCACCACGCTATAATGAGCTTTGTAGATAATATAATGCGGAGACCTGAGTTCGATCCTCAGCGCTAGCGTGAAGATTATCCCGAACTTTTTTGGGGGGGCGCACAAAATATGAACCCCACAACGACAACCCTCGTCGCTCGACCGAGGACGCCTCTGATTCCCGATCCGGAAGGGGAAGGTCAACTGCCCGATCGGGCTTCAATTCAATTTTTGCCTCCGCGGATAATCGTTTGTTCGGAATTCAAAATGGATATGTTCAGGGGCCCGTATGTATGTACCGGGAATGTAAAGAGCTCTGCTTAGAACTCGAAAATAAAGTGCTCTTGCCGACTTATCTCGTACCCCATACTCCGCTCACCCGTCCTTCCCATCGTTTTTCCTGCTGGGTGTATTTGTCCTTGAAGAGTGCGAACTCTTCATCGGTCCAGAGTTTTGCTCCCTTCGCTTCCAACTCCGTGAAAATACTCTCCAGCTTCTTCACAACAGATTTCAAGGGAGGGGGACGGCCTTCCGAGACCATTTCGTCCAAAAACGTCTGGAGATCGCAAATCCGCCATTTCGGCTTTCCCCCCGCGACCGCGGCGTCGATGGAAATAAAACCGTACCGTTTAGCGGGAGAGAAGTTTCCGTACCCCGACACGGAGGCGAATGTCGAGGCAAACAGCCAGCCCGGCTCGTCGAAAGGACGCTCCATCAGCGACGGGAAGCGGTGGACACGGCGCCGCGTCCACCAGTCCCCGTTGGCCCGAAGTCCAGACGCAAATGCTGCCTGCGCCATCAAGCTTGACCTGATTTCGAAGTTAGGTCGGTGTACTATGGGAGAGAGGTAATCTGTGAGGGATTGAACAAGGGTAGTAGGGGTGAATATGGCGAGAGAGATCGCGGCAGCATGTTCCATGCTGAGCTCCACACATGCAAATCTGTTGGGGTAACTTGCGGGGTGCTCCCCCGAGAGGAAGGCAGGATGAACGAGCTCCTCGATGGCGTAAAAGAGTTTCGGTTCCTCGATGAGGAGCTGATGAAGATCTTTATTGGAAATGGAGGTGTCCAGAAGTACGAGAAACCGAAGCTTGGTGAAAGTGGTGAGGATTTGACGCAAACCGTCGATGGTAATGCTATGGTTGTGGGAAAGATCTAAAATCCTAACATCTGCCCTCTCCAACAACGTCATAAGAGAAATGACCTGGCTGTCGGATAAGGACAGACTAGAAAGGTCTGAAGCGATTTTGTCGGATCCAGCTTCATGCTGAAGGACCTTGGCTAACAGCGACAGACCGGAATCAGGGAAAGGATTTTGGCACTGTAGGATAGATAGCATGTGTTTCGCTTTTCCCGGGTGCCAGACCAATCCTTCAAGTTCTTCTGTTTCATCTGTTTGAAGGCCGTGCTCAATAGCGGGTTTGAGAGCGAGATCAGCTAGACTGGGCACGGAAACGGGGGTGGCATCTTCAACTGTGGAGGGTGTCGTCGTCGAGAATGTATATTCGCTTGGCCACGCCTCTGCCAACACATCCAGGGTCATCAAACGCTCGTCGCGAAGGGATTTCACATGTGTATCATACGCGGGAACTGAGTACGCTGCCGCATACTGTTCTGCTGAGAGAGGGACCTAAATATACGGAAGTGCTTCAGACGAGAAGTAGAGGCAGAAACATGTACTGGGTAACTTACGCGCTTCTCCACGGCGACTTCGGGCTCCTCACCTGATAGTCCAAAGGTGCTCACAAAACAGTAGGAGGGATTTGTCGGGTCGGTGATGTCGACAACGGTGATTCCATCGTTGTTGTCTGCTCAAAGGCATGGGCAAAACAACTATGACACATCATCGCGACAATGCTGACCTCCCTTTGTGCTGCCCATCATTGCAGGGAGGAATGTATACCTGAATTCCCCACCACTTGCATAGTACCCCGGGTACTAGAATTTATTTTGTTTAGCGTCCGAATCAACTTTACAGATAACTTACCTCTAAATCAACACACCAAGCGGAAGCCAGTAAAAAGGTCGTGTATGGACAAGGAAGTACGGGGAACTTGGGCTCCGAATCTCCTGAACCATATTTTTCCTGGATTGCACGGATTTCTTCCTCGACGATTTGCACGTTATCTTCTTCTTGAATCAGATAGAGGAATTTCCTCAATTGCTCAAGAGGTATGCTTGAAACCATATCTCGGCATTTCATGGTAGTTATCAAGCGGGCTGTTCCACGTACTCTCCGTAACACCTACAACCGCATTTCAGAGACAGAGATACTCAGATATCAACACAAAAGTTTTTGGAACGAACCATTGGTGATGGTAGGCCCCAACACATCGGTAACGGGCGACTGTGCTGCCTTGAGGAACCACACGAGCGACGATGAAAATTTGGTGCCGTTGACCCATGGTGAGTGCCGAATTCAAAGAGGAAGTTGAACGTTAAGGGGCCGGCAATCATGATGAACACCGGATGCTTCGCGAAATCCTTTCCTTGATTTTGGGCAAACCTGCCCTCGTCCTCTCCACTACCACAGGGGCCTTCGAATTACCACCAGAACTTTGGCTCAAAGTTTTCGAGTATCTGCCCCGCATTGTTTTACTCAGCGTTCATACTACTTCACGACTGTTTCGTCAACTTGCGACCCCTCTGCTGTTCAGAGAGTATCGTTTCCGGTACACGCCCCATGGCTTCACTGAGGCTGTGGAGAGCAGCCAGCTAAAGCGGCTAACATTTTGGTCGTCGGCGGAAAACGCGCGTCACGTTCGCACCGCCGACATTACCTTTCCTGGTGTATCCATCCTGCAAAACGACACCAGTCTCCGCTTTGTCGAAAGGCTCCTCGAAGCGATCCCCAAATTTATCAATCTTCAAAGCCTTTCATACACCTTCTTCAGGAACAGCGCCCACATTGAACTCCCTGCTCTTCGTGTGGAAACGCTTGCCAACCTCAAGGAATTACACCTCCACGGTGGGTGCCTGTTGCGGCCGGACGAACCCGCGTCTTTCAGAATCGCAGTCGAGCACTTTTCCTATACGGACATCATTGTGAATCGCAGCGACACACTTGATCATTCCTGCATTTCGATGTTGGACCCCACCGTCCTCCGTTCGCTCCAGCTCGCTGAACTCCGGCGATTCAGCGTTGAGCGCTTTCTCGACGACAACACCATAGTCACCCAATTGCATTCCCTCCACACGCTATCCATAAAGGTCGTGGACACGCGCTTTGCACGCATCCACACCTGTGTCGCTCGGTTTCCCGCAATCCGCGACCTCACCGTGCTCACGCTCAACTGCCTCGTCGGCGCAATTCCCGTGCCTATTGCGCCTCTTGGCCGACACTTGCAGCGTTACACGGGCCCTAGTGCGCTCCTGCCGTCCGTATTCGCGGGCGCAGCGCCAGTACATATCGAGCCGACCTTCGATACGCCGGCCAAGCTGCTTAGTGTGCTGCGCAATGCCCGGCCCCCGCCTTCTGTCACGTCCCTCGCCATCCGAGTCCAGAACTGTGACTTTGTAGAGGGTGCGCCCCTCACGGAGATCCTCGCGATGTTCCCCCAACTCCGCCATTTCAGTCTGACGATAGCCGCGAATGAGTGGCATGACGAGGAATATATTGAGCCTTTGAAAAAAGAGGTGGGATAGGATCCAATTGCGTTCTATTTGATTGCTTATTTAGCCCTAGATTATCCCCGCGAGCTTGGTAGCCATCCTCAAGGCACCAGCGGCTCTAGAACACGCCTCAATTGACTGGAGGTTGTCTCCCCAGTATTCGCTCAAAGACTTACCGGGTTTCGACGAGCTAAGGGATATATTGCGTCAAGCTGTACCCAGTCTTCAGACCGTTGACTTGGACGAAAGCTATCCATTATCGTAGCGTTGTACAACCGTGTATTTTTTGTTGCGTTAGGATCTCGCAGTCTGCAGTAGTATCGAGCCTCAAAATGTACCTCCCGCGGATACTTGCTTAATCGTGCGTCAGGCTGAAAAATAGCATCGTACATCGGGCGTAGGTAGTACAGGAATTTGAGCTAAGAATTTAAACCAAAGTACACAATGGGACGGACAGGGACTAAGTACGAAGTCTCGGCTGGGGGAAGGATATGATCGGCTGCGCATGGCCGATTCGATGATGTGGGTACATGGGACCAAAATTGAAGCATCGCAAGAAGAGAAGAGTGGCCACTTGCCGGTGGGCGCCCTCTCGGGCGTGGGATTTACAGGGTGGTAGTCCCCAACGATGGAGAAGTGGAGCGAGCGAGCATATCCGCGGTGTTCGACGGGAGGATGCTTTGCGAAAGCGAGTACACGTAGCGAGCGGCGTGGAGCATTACAAGAAAGAGGATTGCAGCAGGAAGGTTGTGATGATTTGCGAAACGCGTGACGCATTGGCGACTCGAACGAATAATGATTAGGATGTCGTTGGGCCAAAAGGAAACATGCTGAGGAAACATGCTGCGAAGTAGCGCGGATATTTGGTCGTCGAGTACGGTCTAAGTGGTAAGTCTTATCACTTGGATATTCCGCGGTCCGCCTATCACCAACCCCGCAGTTGACGGTGCATTACGGTACGCATGGTATGATTGCCGACGAAGAGTGAAAAACCTTCCTCAGTCCATAATTTTGCTCCCTTGGCTTCGAAATCAGCGAAAACTCCTTGCAGCTTCTTCACAGCATGGTCCGATGGAGAGGGGCGTCCTTCCAAAGCCGTTTCTTTCAAAAACGTGTGCAAATCGCAAATCCTCCTGTTCGGCGCATCCCCCGAGGCTATACGAACAAAACCGTACCGGTTGGCGGATTCTCCATACCCTGGCATGGAACTGAGCGTCGAGGCAAACAGCCATCCAGGTTGGCCGAAAGGATCGTCCGTCTGCGACGGGAAGCAATGGACACGACGTCCCGTCCATGACTCTCCTTCGCCCCGAATTCCAGACGAAAATGCTGCCTGCGCCACCAAGCTCGACATGACATTAAAATTAAAAAAGGGTTCAGACGCAATGGGAGAAAGATAATCTGTGAGCGATTGAACAACAGTAGCAGGGGTGAATACGGCAAGAGAGGTGGCGCCAGTATGCGACATTCCGACGTC